CTACTCCACTGGCTGACCACCATGGAGTGCCCTGGGCCGGTCTTGCCTTGATTGTTCTTGCTGTTAAGTCCCCACTGGCTGACCACCATGGGGCATATGCACATCTTTCATCCCCCCTAGGGAGTCTGACTTGCAACATCCTTTCGCCATTGAGTGTCGGTTGTCTGTCCTTGACAACGAGTACGTGATCCGAACCTCTTCTGATGACCTCGGTTTGAATAACCGCTGTCGCACCAGTGGCTACATGATGGTGGTTTTGAGAATCTGGCAATGTCGCAATTTGCGATTCCCCCACAAGCTCTGTGCTTCCTTGTGAACCGGGACTTCATTGACGACTTCGAGTACTGAGTCCGTGGGGTATCTAGTAGTTCAGCGCGATTGCTCGCTTTGTTTCTTTGGTGTTTGTTTGCTTGGTGGTTGCTTGGTGTGTCTGGCGGATTGTGTGCGCTGACTTTGTTTCACCCCTTACGTCGAGCCCAACAAGACCGGCCTACTGTGCTACTGATGTAGTAAAGAGGCGTCAGTCCAAAAAAAAAATCCGAATATGCAGTTGCCCTTTGCACCTGGAGTAGCTCAACAGATGGAGTTTACAAGAGCAAATTCCACAGTTGCCTTGGCTGAACTATGCGTCCATCCAAGTTTAGACAGCTTACAGAGACGAACTTACAAGTTGGCTTTGTTTGCTTGACGACCGCTACGCTACGGAATTGCAAGAAGCGATTAGTAGCAATGTGGAAGTTTTGCAAGTAAGGCTTGAAGCCGGGAAAGCAGCCCGGTCAACCAAACTTTAGTTTTTGCTTCGTCAGTCAATGAGCAAATTGAAGATAGTTCACGTTGCCAGACTCTGTGCCGTGGATCACCCGGCTTCCCAAAATCAGCCAGTGCAGAAGTCTGCTAAGAATTGTCTCTTGAGACCCGGCTGCTTTTGTTGCGGCAATCTCACATTGGAAGCTCTGCTTCGGGTGGATGCGATTCCTCAAGGTGCTTGAATGTGCCTTAAGTGGCTGTGGCAAGGATCCGGCGATCGCTTGTCTGGCGTCTCGCCCTAGTGTCGTTCCATGCGGCGCCGGGTGATTTAATTTTAAGTGACGTTTCGTTTTGGAAGCTTTTGTGCTTGCTCGTCCACATGCATCCTGCGGTTTCCAGCTAAGTGCAAAATAGACCTGTGCATTCTCGTGCTGGAGCATTCGGTCATTGAGACATGCACGCTTCCGTTCGAGTATTTGGTCAACATGCTTGTTAACCCGGGTCTGATGTTCATATTGTTTGTGCTCGAGTATTTGGTCAACCTTTTGGCTGATCGTAAGTGCTACTGGAACGCTTGAGGCTGACCTTTGCGCTTCTGCCGCTGCCGCCTTGTCAAGGTTGCTTGGTTAGCGTCCTTTCTTCGAAGCTTTCGAAGTCTTCGTGCTCGCCTAAGCCTTCGAAGCCTTCAGACCTTCACGCTTCCCCCCTTCCTACCCCCCCTTCGACCCTTCGGCTTCGAAGGCTTCGAAGGCTTCGAAGCCGCCTTCGCCGAAGGGGAAGGGATCCAGCCCCCAAGGCGGGAGGAACATACGGCGCCAGTTCGTACATCAGGTGTCTAATTTGTCGTGGAGGCTGCGTGTCAAATTATACTAACATGGTCAAGAGTTGCTTGCAATGCTATCGCAACGGCCAATTCCGAAGCGGCCCTCGTCAGTCAGGACTGGCTGGGCGGTCTCTTCCGCCACATGCGATATCAATGGCCTCATCCATTTAAGCACGCCACCCATTCCAAGAGGATCGCTCCCTCATTGGGGACAGAACGACGAGAAGGTTCGAAGCAACTGAGCAGTGGTACATGGTTGCTCACATGTCACGTTCGAACATGCGGTCAGAGTGTGCAGAGCAGTGCAGCATGTGTTCCCATGTGATTCGAACATGAGTTCCGAACATGGAGTGCAGTGGAGCATGTGAGCGTGATGTGTAGTCATGCGTTTGAGCATTGAGTCCGAGCATGTTCACGCACTCTTTTCGTATGTGTAGGGTGATATATCACATAACACTTCATTCGCGACCTTTCTACCTCATCACTCACGAGTTCGTCTACTACCTCTTGTTCGAGCATATCCATTTCCGGAACAGCATCCACTACAAGTCCCAGTGGAGCACGAAAAAACAAAAAGTGTGTATGTGTGTGTGTGTTTATTTTGCAAAGTTTTCGGGTTGGTAAACGGTGAGAGCAAGGTTGAAGACGATGAGAAACAAAGCAAATAAGCGCAGACTGTCGTGTGTACAGCGAAGCTGTATTGGCCATGCTTAGCCCTTTTGGATACATTATTGCAGCAATGACGGGTTGCACGAGTGTGCTACATGATGCCTGGTTTGCACCAGAGCTGTGGCAAAGTTTTTTGGATTTTGTGCTTTGCTTTCATGTGACCTGCCGGCACCTGTTATGCCCAAACCCCATTAAGGCGAAATCACACTTTGTGCAAACTCCATGCAAACATGTGCGCAGAGACACATGTGTGCCCTAAGAACTTGATTGAAAAGGTTGTCATGTGCTTTTGTTCAACATTGCAACCGTCACAATACTAATCATTGTAATTGTAGTAGAATAATACTAATAATAGTAATAAGACTAAGAGTAATAACAATATTCACAATACAAAATTCGTGATAATCGTAATGCCCGAAGTCGCAAGAGCTGGTCGCCATGCCGTGTCTTTGACAACGCATGCAGTGTTCCTCGGGGAAGTTTTGGCCACACGACTTAGCAGCTCTCCGCACAACCCGCACGGGCGGTTTTGGGAGCCCAGCGGTAAGGAGCAAAGCCACAGCGATGGTCACACTGCATGGACAGATTGCCCGTCTGCCCATGCGTTGCTGTGTGAAACTCAGTTGCTTGTAAGCAGGATGTGGAAGTTTGCAAATCGAACGGGCAAGTCCACAGTGTGGCCGCCGTGAGCAGGCATCGACATGTGCATGGCAGGCGGGCGGCGGTTCCCGCAAGTGGGAGCCCTTAGGCCTGTCTGGCCGTGCTGCTTTAGGAAGGGCTCAATATGTTAGAGTTGTTTATGAGAGGGGTGGCAAACGCCATATTCAAAGCCCATGCGTGCAAGTGGTGGATTTGGCCGATGCCGTACTCATATGTTGTGGGCAGCCGCTGTGTTCCACAAAGACTGTGGCATGCCGCTGGATACCACGTTTGGGAGCCTGCAGGCCACCCTTGCCGTGCTGCCTAGTATGACAGAGCTGTGTATGCCCAAATCACGAAAACGTTGTTGCTTTCCGGGTCGCGTGTGCCAGCAGCCACTTCGGCTTGCCTTTGTTGACAGTCGGTCCTTGCATTTCGGAGCCCGCACAAGGGTCTGGCCGTGCTGCTTCAGGTGGGGTCCATCGTTGTGAAAGGGATGTGCTCTGAGCAGCAGCTGTGCTGCACGAAGACCGTGGCCATGCGTTTGGCAGCCCCTAGGCCCTGGTCGCGCTGCTTCAATTGGGGTCGGGTATTGTATGTAGACCTGTGCACGCAAGGAGTGGCACGCCTGCGAGAGTGGATTTGGCCGATCCATGTGGTCATGCGTTATGAGCAGCAGCTGCGCTTTAAAACACGACCAGTCCACATTCAACAAGCACAAACTTTATGTGGATTCTGGCCGGAGTGGACTGTAGAGCGGAAGCTGTTTGCCGGAAATTCGCAACTGTAAGCCCTCGCTAGCTATCTTTTATCTTGGTTTGGCAAAGCCCTCTCCCCGACACTTGGCGCAGAAGATTAAACATGGGTGTGGAGCGACAGTCGGTTCACATCTTGTGGAAGGATTCGGCTTGTTATGATTGAGTGCTTAGCTAGACGCCAGGACTTTTCGCACGTCGTTGCGGAATAAAGCCTCTAGCATGCCGTCGGTTGTTGCATCTGGTAGTTGTGCTGCATCAGGCAAGGTCAGGCATTGAGCAAAGACCTTGTTCATTGCAACGTCTGCCAGCAATCGCAACGAAGCTGGCAGCCATCACGAGGCTGTTGTCGCTGCTAGACCGCGCTGGTCGTGCTTCAGGCCTGGTCTGGCATTGTAGAGCTGTGTGAGGGGTGACAAGCACCATTATTACAACCCTCAACCCCAAACCCCAAACCCTAAACCCTAAACCCTAAACCCTCAACCCTCAACCCTCAACCCTAAACCCTAAACCCTAAACCCTCAACCCTAAACCCTAAACCCTAGATTTGGCTGATGCGGTATGGTCATGCGTTGAGCGCCACAGCAGTGCTCCGCCAAGACCATGGCATGCCATCTCCTGCAATTTTTGCCGTATCTGAGAGTTCCCAGTGCGCCCTGGTCCTGCCCACAACCGGGGGAGCTTGCCATTGTGAGGCCAGGGTCCAGCGGCGCACAATTTGAGAGTCAGGTGTTGCGAAGCTGTTTAGGCAAGGGCGGCAAGCACAATTGTCAGAAGTGCGTGCCAGTGGCCGACGTTACAAGTGCCATGCGCAGAACCCGAGCGAGTGGATTTGGCCGATGTGGTTTCGTGTTGTGAGCGGCAGCGCACCACTAATGCCATGGCATGCCGCTGCTTCGGCATTGGGAAGCTCCACCGGTCGATGCTTCAGGTCAGGTCACGCACTGCTTAGCTGATCGTGCAAGGAGCGGCAGGCACCATTTAAAAGAAACATGCGTGCGAGTGGACTTGGCCGATGCGATGTGGTCATGTGTTGTGAGCGGCAGCTATGCTCCACTAATACCTTGGCATGCCGCAACCTCCCCATCTGGTAGCCCCATGGGCCCCTGGGCCCTTTCCGTGCTGCTTCAGGTCGGGTCAGTGTTTAGCTGATCATGACAGGAGCGGCAAACACCATTTCAACAGGCCATGCATGCAAGTGCGTTTGGCCGGGGTGATGGTCATGCGTTGTTGTGCCATGCGTGCTTGCCCCACAACGACCATGCAAGCCTTAAGTGCTGCAGTTGTTGCTGCTTCCACGTCATGGTTCCACACCCGGCTCAGGCTGCAGAAACACTATTGCTCACTTGTGCCTCATCATACCAAGTATGAAAAGACACTCCTGCAGTCACGCGTCATCTCACCGAACCGCGAGATTTTCAACCATCAGAGCAGCTGCTCGCCCGCCCTTCCCGGCCCCAGCCCCGGTGCTGATGGCAGCGCATCATGGCGGCTGGCTGGCAGATCTAGCAGCTAGCTGCCTCCTTGTCAGCAAGCGGTCCAAGTTCGAGTTTGCCCTTGTGGACAAAACACTTCGCATGTCAGTTTGGGGCAGGTCGCAAGATGGCGAAGACTTTGCCTGGGCAGGCCGCGCGACAGGTGTAGGAGGGGCCAATGGTCTTTATAAACTAGGTTCTTTGTTCTGGCTGCAGCAGCCTCCAGAGCCCTTGCGTTAATTTCAGGATCTGTTTAGTGTATAGAGCTTTTGGAACTGACCGGTGATGTTGACATTGCTCCGACGGTTGTTCGGAGTTGTTGCTCAACATGGTTCCTGAGAACCTGCTGACAGTTCCTGAGATTTCCAGAATGGTTCCCAAGATTTCCCAAGCCTTTGTTGTACTTCTCACACAAACAGACGAGAGTGTACCACTGGCCAGTAGTTCAGTAGCCAAAGGCGTCAAATGTCGAGATCAGAGACGTTTAACATGCGGATGAGCTTAGGGACCTGCCCCTTGGGGTGACATTCGACTTGGGGTGCAAGTTGCAGTCTTGCCTTAGATCCATTTTCATCAATGTTCAGCCGTGTTTTGAAGGCTTTCAATACTTTGTGACATGTCCTTCTTCTCTGAAAACAGAGAGTTGAGGTTGCTGTGGCTCCCAGCTGTCTGTAGCTGTGGGTTGCAGAGCAACTCATTCCTCAGTGGCGGGTTTGGGTTGCGAAAAATATTTGAGAGAAGATGTTCTCATGCTGATACTGCAGATTGGTAGGCAGGCATCTCCTGGCTCAACCCTTGACTCCCCTTCCCTGATGAGTTTTTACCGGAAGAGACGCCTCGACCTGTTTCTCGCGCACCCCGCCTCCTCTCCACTCCGGCCCCCCCCGACTATGCGTGCAGTGCAGACAGAGGTCGAGAAGCTTCCTGCCATGGCCACCATGTGCGCACCTTGCATGAGCTTCTGTTCCGGCCGGCCTCGTTCCGGAGATATCCTAAGATGTCCTAAACATTCCTGTCAAAGCCGCTTATCACCAGTCTCGCTGAGTCTCGCTGCCGCCCCTGGGAGTTTGAGGACTCCCCCCTGACTCTGCTTTCGCAGTTTGGGCTGGGAGGTCTGGCTAGCCGGGGCCGAGGTCACGTCTTCTGGGAAAGAATTGGCGACGTGTAGCCCGAAGACTTCCAGCAAGCAGAAGTTAAAGCCTAGTCGACCTGTGTAAGAACGAAGTTGGTTGGCATTGGTGAGCATGTGCGTGTCACAAGATGTCACCAGACACTGGCAAAAACGCCCCGCATGCCCACGCTGTTCGCACCACACTCTTAGATCAGCGCAAATCTGTTGTGGCTAAGTTCTTGTTTCTGCGCTCCTCTGCTTCAAAGTCATGTAGCACCCAAGCTCCTGTAAGCTGGTGGGAACTGCGACTCTTTCCGAAGGGTTGTGCTCTGCAAGACTCTGCACTAGCACGAGGCTTACTGGCTCCTCTCAGGCGCTGCTCACCGGCTCCTCCTCTGTGACAAGATTTCGGGTGTAGGGTTTAGGGTTTAGAGTTTAGGGTCAAGTCTGGGCCAATCTGGGAACAGCGGTCTCTTTGTTTTCTCCCACCTATCTTTTCAGCCCCGGAGCCATGTTTTCCACACTGGGGGTTGGGTCGGCCTCCGCGAGGTTCCGAGATGCTGCAGTGCCGAAAGTGCGCCTTCTTGGTGAACCATTACGGCACAACAATTTCGTTGTCGTTGGCCTCCGCGTTATTGCTTCGAGATCTCATGACGTACAGATCATTCGACATGCAAGCCTCGCTTCTGGGATGTCCTGTTTGCCACTTTAGGGCCCCTTTTTGGAATCCCTTTTTAAAGGGTGCCGCCTTATAATGGGTACCCAAAAAGGGGCCCTATTTCAGGAAACTACCCACATGTTACTTGACGCGTTCTAGTCACTTCTTCGATGCTTCCAAATGCCCAGAGTGATCTCTCTAATTTGGGTATGCCTCAAAATAAGGGTCTCTTACGTCCCCCTTATACCCCTAAAAGCCCCAAAATAGTAGGAGCCCTCATTTTTCAGACCCCTTAGAAGGGGCACTTAATTTCAAGAGACGCCATATGTTCCTTAGCGGGCAGGGGTTTCTCGTCCCTAGCGCGGGCGCAGCCGAATCTGATGGAGCGGGCAAGACGGGCCTCTTGCTCATTGGTTGGCCTGCTTGACATGATTTTGGCTCTTGCTCTGTATAATGCAGCGAAGTCCAAGTTTGGCAGAATGGTCTCACACTGGCATGGACGTGTGCACGGACACTGCCTCTGCTAGGCTCCTGAGTGAGGACTGGCTTATTGCCCCGCTCCCCTACGCTTTAGCTCCCTACAGCCCATCTCATTATCGCAATGGCCAGAGCAAAATCTTGGCTGGAGCTTGATGCTCGAGCCAGATTTGCTTTGCGGTGGCGGCTTCCGCTTTCCGCACGCGTTGAGCCCAGAGAGTTTGGAGATGTTTGGAGATTTTGGGGTATCCGAGCCCGAGAGCTCCGTGGAACACAGCCTGGTCCAGCTCAAGGGTTCACGGCACGCCTAGAGAACATCCTTCAGCCCTGACCGTGTGCTTCACACATCACGCATTAGGAGTTTGTTCCCGGTCCGAACTTGCCTAGTGAACCCAAAACCCTAAAGGTTTTAAACCCTAAACCCTAAACCCTAAACCCTAAATCCTAAACCCTAAACCAGTCTTTCATGGCCCCCGCGGTCTGCTGAGTTCGCGCCATTTTTTTCAGCCAGCCTTGCTCGGCCTGCAGACCAGCTCTGTTCAAGGTTTGGCCCCTCAGAGGAGTCCGCTTGCCAGCGTTCATGTTGATGCCACAACCGATCTTGAGTTCTAGTCAAAAGCATAGTTGCACCGCTTGGCCTCAGCGGTTTGTGTTCGTCTGGTGCGCGCTGAAGCTCCTGCACAATGCGCGGTGGAACATGTTGCAGAGTCGCACCGCTCTGCGTCTGGTGGACTGAAGCGCCCACATTAGCAGTTTGTGATTTGACCAAAAGGTTTTCCAATGATACCGGTCGTCCACTTTCTTTGGTAGGTTGTTGTTGTGCGTTGCCTTCATGTGGCATGTTCCACGAGGCCGTGCTAGATAGACCTTGCCTCTCAGGGCAATAGTTTGCAGGGGCAAGGTTTGCTCTAGCAGGAACTTCAAAGTGAGGCCGCCGGCGGTCTGTGGCAGTCTCCAATAGGTTGTTCTTGTGCGCTAGTTTCACGCGATAAAGAGACACCTTTGTCATTGCTGCCAGCGACTTCACAGTCACCACATACAGACTAACAAGGGCCACCTCAAAGCGCATTGCTTTGGGCGGTCCCGTACGAGGTCAAACACACGTTGGTTGTGGATAGCTTCTGACTTTCACCTTCATGGGCTTTCTGCGCTGATCGACCGAACGAACAACATCTTTGTTGCGGCCGACACAGTTGCCACGCACGTGTCGTCCCCTCGGAGTGCGTTATTTAGGTTCCACAGCATCACAAAGTGCTGTACACAACCACGGCATACCCTAGGCTCCATCCTCGCGAGTTGTCACGCGCACATTGACATTGGGGCCAGGTCTGACTGAGCAAGAACCCATGGAAAACAGCACGAACCAGGCACACCTGGGGACCTGCTGGCCGGGCAAACTGAAAATTTTCGAACGCAGACAAGAACACAATATCTAGATCAATCATATAACCTTATCCATCAGCCTGCACACAGAGGCAAGACCTTGCAAAGCGTGGACTGCGACTAGGCCAATCTGAGGGTTTTGGGGTTTTGGGGTTTCGGGTTGGGGGGGGGAAGGGTTAAGGGTTCAGAGTTTGGGGGTATCTTTGTGGATAGTGCCAGTAGCCATGAAGCAACGCATGTAATGTCTACGCCGAGGGGCCCAGAACGTATGTGGTGACTGTGACGTCGGTTGTAGGCGCGACCAAAGCGTCTCTACTTAATTCTGTCGATCAGCGCAGGTAGAGTCAAAAAACTTCGTGTTTTTCTCAGCCAATCTACCCATAGCCTCACCAGGAACATCTCTAAACGGTGTACTCCAAGAGGGGGTGCACGCATGTGGTGATTGTGAAGTCTTTCGTTCTGTCATTCTGTCAATCCGTGCAAGAAGCTGCGAGGCAACAAACTTGACGTCCTTCGCAGCCAACGTGTGCATGAAATCTTCATTTTCATGTACATTCGCACAACGTCCACTTCTGACGGCACCGTGCATGTCGACGGTCTCTGTGTGCAAGAAAAATGAGCTCCATCTTGTGGGGATGAGTGAGAAGCCGCCGTGTCAGCTTGCCGAGTCATGTGAGGGGCCCTTCTTTCTGTGCGCACTTTTTGGCACTGGCTGGGGCGCCGCCACGACACTTTGTCGGGGTTGTCTACGGCCGTGCAAGCCGCAGGGTCGACAAGAAGTCCTCTTGGAAGCCGGTAAACGCACCATGTCGCATCTACGACAGCGGTGCAACTCTCGACGGCCTTGCGCGCTCGCAAGTGCGATCAAGACGTGAATGCTGAATATGCCTCATGCTGATTCTTGCATCATGCGCCGTCGTGCGTGTCCATGATTCTCGCCATAGACGGTTGAATGGTGGGAAGGGTCGAAATGCGTGCCGTTGCAGTACTCCACAGCATGCATCTTCCACAGGCCAGCAGTAGCGTTTCGGATGCTGGTGGTTGCCTTCATGGAGGATGTACTCTAGAAGGACAGCGTATTCATTTTCTCCACCGTAGACGATGCCGATCTTGAGCAGTCACATGCAGGTTTCGTCATCCGTATGCAAGTACACGGCAAGTCCTTTTAGGGCTGTTTTGGATCCTTGCTCTAGGTCCGGGCGTATCTCTGGCTCGGGATTTCGTGCTTCAGAGCTATAGCCATAGCCCTGAGTAAGGTATTCTGAGGTGGCCCACGCGTAGCCAGAATGATCCAGAATGGGTTTCGCGGCTCGTGATACGTGTTCCAGGGGTCGAAAACGCATGCATGCGAAGCGCTCACCAAGTCAAACCTCCCATCAGAGGACACTTCCACACTTCCAGTCCCAGTCCCAGTGGCTGTTCCGACAGAGAGACCTTTAAACCCAAAAGCCTAAACCCTAAACCCTAAACGCTGGTGAAGTGTAGAAGGAGGACCCTCAGACAGAGCCATATGTTGTTTCACGGAGGCACGCGGTTTCGGATTTAGGGTTTAGGGTTTAGGGATTAGGGGTGCAGTTGCACAATCCCGCCCCTGGGTAGCTGGAATAGGAGAGAGGGCAGTCTCTGACTGTGATGGCAAGAACTCCAAGTGCCAGTGCGCTACAATCTCTGGTCATCCTGGGTTACTTTCACGGAATTTTATCCACCAGACCCGCTTGGTTTGATACCATCCCGCTCTTTTCAAAGTCTTGTCTTTCCGACTAGTTTTTGTTTAAGCTTCAGCCGGAAGGTTTGCCTGGCCAGCAAGTGCATAAGACGTATGCCGCACCGACGATCCTGATTTTGAGTTGTAGTCTCATGCAGGGTTCAGCATTGGCCGTTGGGTTCTCGGGGCGTCCTTGCAGACTGTCATAGATGCTTTCTCTGGCCTTAGGTGTGCGAGTTCATGTGGCAAGCTTTGAAGTTCGCGCTTCCTACTTATCATTTATGCTTCGCCGGGATGCATGCTGCACAGATGCCTAGCACTGTTCCTGGCTTCAGTGCAATCGCAGGCATGCGCTGTGAGCTCCACCAAGCTGTGATTGGCCTGGTCCCAGCCCACGCTCTTCCAGGTCTTGCCTCACGAAGCAGATTTTTGACGTTCATGTCTGTTGCTATCTGTGTCGGCAAGTTCCACAGTGTGAAGGTCTGCTTGGCCAGCCGGTGCACGCAGCGTAGCAGGTCCCACCAGCAATCTAAAGAATCAAAGGCAGGGTTCAGTAATCCTATCAGGTCGTTGAGTTCATGTGGCAAGCATTGAAATTCGCGCCCCAATCTTTGTTCCACATCAATTCATTCTGCAAGGCTGCAAAGCACACCGGCTCTCCAGAAAAGTCACGCCTGCCTAACAAGATGCATGAGGGGACATACGCACTGGCTGCCAATGTACAACTACATTTCCTCGACCGAACTGCGACGTTGGATACACCATGGCGGGGCCTTCCTCGCTTTTGTTGCCTGCGACCCTCCCTTCGCACGCCGGCAGTGACAAAGCGGCACGTGCTGGAACATAAACATCGGCCTCCGCTGCATGCATGTAGGGTTTAGGGTTTAGGGTTTAGGGTTTAGGGTTGAGAGTTTAGGGTTGAAGGGTGGCTTCGATGCTGGCGAGAGGAGAGGCCGTCGCCTTTGCGGTTCTGAGGTTGGACATCGGGCGTTCCAGGTTCCAGCGCGCGTTTTGCTCGTTTTGACGCGGATGCCCAGGCCGAAATCCCATGTAATGCGGAGCGCGACCTGACAGATGCATGTCCCCATACTGATGGTTCACATAGGTGAAAGCTTTGCATGTTAGTACACAAAAGTTTCGTGTATGTTCGGCCCACGGCAGCGTGCCTAACTGCTTTAGGCGGACTTGCATGTCTGGGGTTAACCCTAACCCGTAAACCCTAAACCCTAAACCCTAAACCCTAAACCCTAAACCCTAAACCCTAAACCCTAAACCCTAAACCCTAAACCCTAAACCCTAAACCCTAAACTTCAGCCAAGAAAGCCGCGTGCGTGCATCATGGTGCAGATGTGGAAGCATTCCTTGAGCCTGTGGAGCCCCCCACCGTGCGTCAGCCGGTCGGCGTTCCAGGATTCATTCGTGTTTGACCCACAAGCCCTAAACCCTGAACCCTAAACCCTAAATTCTGAACCCTAAGCAAGTTCCTCTGCACTTTCCTCCTGCGTTTTTTGACGCTGCCCATGAGTATCCTTAAGTGGAGCATATGAAGCCGTGAGGATTTGTAGGCCGTTGGTTTGCGGAAGCCTGATGGACTCAAGATCGACAGTCGCTTGCAGGGTTTTAGGGTTACCCTAAACCCTAAACCCTAAACCCTAAACCCTAAACCCGAAACCCGAAACCCGAAACCCTAGGGTAGTGCGGCTCGGGCAGTTGTCTTGTCGCACAGTTGTGTAGATGAGGACGCGAAGTCTTTTGCAGAGGTGTAGACTTCAAAACCCTGCGAAGCTTGCTTAATGGCAAGAGTCATGGCTGCTTCTTCCACAGCACAGGGGTGTCTTCACATGTCGGGGGCACGACATCAGGAGCGCTGCCAAGTGGCCGTAAGGTTTGGCAGGACGCTGAAGCCCAGTTCAGCAGCAACTTTAGCATTGGCTTCAACCTTATCCCAAGCACTTGCCAATGTCAATATCCATGACACATATTTTGCCCCCGCAAACACCCTGCCACCTATTGAAATTGAAATGTGATGTCGGATTTTCTAGAACTGCTGTGATGTCAAATTTTCTAGAACTGCGCACAGGTGGTCAGACACACCCATCTTTCCTTTCCATAAGCAAACCCTAGCGGCGCCGTCCGCGCCACGTCCCAGTCAGCATCCTCCTTGTTCCGCTAGGGCCTTTTGTGACTCGGCAATCCTTGTCCCAGAGATTTTCAGCTCCCAATCATGGCAACTTATCCGAGTCACCCCAGGCCTGGCCACCTCTTGAAGACTTTGCCCCAAAGCAGCTTGAGGATGGAGCCGCAAAGCAAGGAATTCCTGGTTTGCTCTGCAGACTCTGCTTTCCTCGTGATGTTTTCAGCTTCTCAGATGCAGCGGAGCCATCACAACCGCAGAAGAGGCGCCGAGCGGCAAGGCCTACTACTGTGCTCCCGGCCGCTTGTCGAAAAAAGGAGGTGCTCGCGGCCAGCGACGTGCTCGAGTATGTTCTATCTTACTACACTATACTATACTATACTATACTATACTATGCTATACTATACTATACTATATATAGTATAGTATAGTATAGTATAGTATAGTATAGTATAGTATAGTATAGTATAGTATAGTATAGTATAGTATAGTATAGTATAGTATAGTATAGTATAGTATAGTATAGTATAGTATAGTATAGTATTAGTATAGTATGCTATATTATGCTATACTCTACTATATACTATAGTAGATGGCCAGGTTGTCTGTTCTGTCAGGCTGTGCGGTTGGGCCCGCTGGCAGGGACGGGAAAGCAAAGGACACAAAGCAGTTGAAGATGGGCACGTCGGTCATTTCTTGGCAGTGCTGTTGCCATGAGGGGACTTGACGACTTTGAAATTTCTTAACATGAGACTTGATCATGAAACCTGATGAGGGAGTCCTGGCCGCGGAGCTCCTCAAACGTTTCGTGCACGCACCATGTTGGGATTCATCATCATCACCTTCATATAATCATGCGACGACACCAACGACGGCGACCGCGACCGCGACAACGACCACGACAAGGCCAACTACCGCGACGACGATGACAATGACGACGACGACGTCGCCACGGCCGCCGCGGCCACCGCGGCCGCCGCGGCCACCACCACCACCGACGATCACCACCGACGATGACGACTCCTGTTCCGATTCTTATTCCTACATCTGCTCCTAAACTTCCACAATTACTCTTACTCCTATTCCTACTCCTACTTCTACGATGCGACGACGACGACGACGACGACTACTACTACTACTACTACGACTACTACTACTTGTTGTTATTATGATTACCTATTACGACAACTTACTATTGCTATTGTTATTATTACTGTTACTGGTACTATTATTAATATATCTTCTACTATAAGCTACTTATTTTTTACTTTGTATTATACACTACTTGCTATTTATTGCCTAGTACTTGTTACATACCAAAGGTGCAGCAGAGGCCTACCGTACTTGTACCCCACGGGACGCAGTCTCATCATGTCGAAGATTCAGCCCTCACGTCTTCATGACGCCAGCTGCGAGCGATCATCACGCAGAAAAATGGGTTGTAAGTTGTTGGTCCTCCCGAGCGCAACAGCGACCACATCTTATTAAGTAGCTACGCGCACGCTGACGGTCGTCTTGACCGTGCGGTTGTTTAAAGGCAAGCATGTCTTTCACGTTCACACACTTGCTTCGTTTAGCCTTGAAAGTTCTGCCAGGGTGTTTTATGTGTGTGTGCCGGGCTGCTACTTTGGAGATTACGGCAGTTTGGTATAGGTTGCTGTGATCAAAGCAGACGTCGACATGAGGAACGTCCCAGAGCGTGCCCACACCCAACTTGTCCAAGCAAACAAATACAGACTGATGGCCGTCGGTCCAAGCTGGCAATGCACATTTCTGTGTGCACAAAAAAACCACAACCTAAGTATGCAAGCCGCGCACAAAAAAACCACAACCTAAGTATGCAAGCCGCGCATGAAGCAGGGTTTATACGACTGTTATTGGTGAGTGTATGTAAGGTTCCTTTTACATGTTGGTGAGTATATATACCGGGTGTCCTTTGGGGTACAAGAAATATATACCCTACTTCATATGAAACCAACCCTAAACCCTAAACCCTAAACCCTCAACCCTAAACCCTAAACCCTGAACCCTGAACCCTGAATCCTAAACCACCATAGTTAACCGTACTGCGTGGCTCGGCCATGTGGGCTTTGATCTCCTCGTTGCTCTGGGCGCCTTTGGTTCCGAGGCGGCTGGATGGCCCCAGCCCCGTGAGGTCGGGTTCTGCAGGTCTGCATGTTTCAGTTGCAGGGCCCTTCCAAAACCTTGGGAAACCCTCAGCCCTAAACCCTAAACCCTAAACCCTAAACCCCAAACCCTAAACCCCAAAGCTGAGCTTTTGACCCTGAGCCCCAAAGTTGAGTGTTCGACCTGGGCCGCCCCGGCGTCTGAGAATGTGGAGGTTCTAGGGGCGTGGCGTGCGGAATTTAGGCCAATTTTTTAGGGTTTTCTCCATTCTTGATTGGGTGATGAGCCCCCATGCCTTTCAACGCTACAGCGCTACAGGACCGGCCTTGCTTTGAACTTACATATGCAACCGAAACCCAAAGTCCCTTGAAGGTCTACAACCCTTCAATGTCTGATGCTTAGGAGCCCCTACAGCCCCCCGCTTAAGCTTACTACCACAACCAACGAGACCCTCCATCAGGATTGAGAACGTGCAGTTTGGGCTCGTGCAAGACACCCGCGTATGCACGTGCCCCGCGCAAATGGTGGCCGTGGGAGCGTTTTTGGGTTTCCGGGGGGGTTTTCAGCTTGGGTTGAGGGCTGGTTATGTGGCTTACTTCAACCCTAAACCCTAAAGCCTAAACCCTAAACCCTAAACCCTAAACCCTAAACCCCAAACCCTAAACCCTAAATCCTAAACCCTGAACCTAAACCCTAAACCGACGGTTTGGAAGGGGTCAGAGTGTACCGAAGCCCGTCACAAGGGAGGCCTTTAGCTTAGGGTTCAGGGTTCAGGGTTCAGGGTTTAGGGTTTAGGGTTTAGGGTTTAGGTTTTAGGTCTAGGGTTTAGGGTTTAGGGGCACCCTTCGAAGGCTGTTGAAAAGCAAGTCCTAAGCAGCTGCTCAGGAACATGACTGACCTAAAGGTGGCGGGCATCTCCCTCCTGCAAGGCTTCGGGTGTGCGGTTTAGGGCTTACGGTTTAGGGTTTCGGGAAGAGGGTTCAGGTTGGGTTGAAGGAGACTAGGACTCGAGTGGTTGCTTAAGCTGACGGTCGTTAGAAGTGGCCTGTGTGTACTTGGGAAAGAAAGGCTGTGGGAGAGTAGTGGTTTCGGAGCCCCCGAAACCCAAGAAGGATACAACCTTAAGGGTCCAAGGCAGAACCCCTAGAGATTTAGGACCGCCTTGCGAGCCCAAAGCCTAGTTTTTTTGTTTTTTGAATAGGGTTTAGGGTTTAGGGTTTAGGGTTTAGGGTTTAGGGTTTAGGGTTTAGGGTTTAGGGTTTAGGGTTTAGGGTTTAGGGTTTAGGGTATCTTACCCAAAGAAGTATAGGCCTTGGGGTTCTGAAGCCCGGGAAGGTTCAGATCCCCTCAGCCCTCGAAACAAACCTGAATCTCCGAAGGATGGGAGTCTTCCTGAAATACTACGAGGGTTGGTTTATTGTTTAGGGTTTAGGGTTTAGGGTCTAGGGTCTAGGGTTTAGGGTTTAGGGTTTATCCTGAAGTTTTATGGTTGGAGGTGGCTTTCTAAACCTGGGTTGGGTTGGTGGGTGTTGGAGGCTCTAAGATTTTGGTTCTTCCTTGAAACCCTGAAAGCAATGCTAAAATCCTCAGCCCTAAAGCCGTGAAACCCTGGACCACCCAAGAAACCCTAAACCCTAAACCCTAAACCTTACACCCCAAACTCCTTAAAGCCTGAGCCCGGGCCAAGCTCCATGGCCAGGCACGCTGGAGGAGTGTGCTCAGGCAGTTGCCGGCCCGGCCCGTTCCCGCGGACTTTGTGGGCAAAGTGGCTACTTCCAGTGGCCCTCCAAAGTTTCATCCTAGGCCCTCAGAGGGTTTAGGGTTTAGGGTTTAGGATTTAAGGGTTCAGGGTTAGGGGACCCTAGACCCAAAACCCCTAAACCCCAAGGCCTACGCCCCTACACCCTGGAAGAAAAGCCAAAACATCCGGACCCCCTGGAGCTCAAAGTTCAGAGTCTCCTGGAGACAAAGAGGTTTTGGGTTTAGGGTTTAGTTCGGGTTTCGGGTTCAGGGTTTAGGGCTTCAGGGAACCATCCTCTTAGCTAAAGATTAAGTTTGAACTTGCTTTGGATCACCCTTGAACTCTCAGCCCCAAATCATGAACCCAAGCCCCTCAACCTTACACTCTGAACCCTGAACTGAACCCCTAAACCCCAGACCCTAGACCCTAAGCCCTAAGCCCTAAGCCCTAAGCCCGAAACCCGAAACCCGAAACCCTAAACCCTAAACCCTAAACCCTAAATCCTAAACCCTAAACCCTAAACCCTACACCTTCACCCCTCAACCCTAAGCCCTCCAAGGTTCCGAAACCATGTCGGCGGAGGTTGCCAGTGTGCCCGTGACGACTGCAGCTCGATGTCGGCGGAGGTGGGGGGCTCATAGGGTTCCAGGAACCCTAAGCCCTAAACCCTAAACCCTAAACCCTAAACCCTAAACCCCAAGCCCTAAACCCTAAACCCTAAACCCTAAACCTTAAACCCTACACCCCAAGCCCTAAACCCTAAATCCCTAAACCCAAAATCCCTAAATCCCTAAGCTTTATAAGGACCCTAAACTCAAGCTTTTGGGTCTAGGGTCCCAGAGATTGTTAGTGGTGGCTGGGACCCTCTCAACCTTGCACACAACCCCCAGAACACCACATCCTATCCCTTCAGGGTTTAGGGTTTAGGGTTGAGGGTTGAGGGTTTATGGCCTAGACTCTCAGAGGCAAACCTTAAAACCCCAAGTCCTTCCACCCCACGATCGCCAACTTCCAGATCCCCAGAAACTCCAAAAGCCCCATCAAGGCACCCCTGCGCCCCAAACCCTTGACCCTGAACCCTCAACCCTAAACCCTCAACCCTAAACCCTAGCCCTAAACCCTAAACCTAAGCCCGAAACCCTAAACCCTACAGCCCAAAGCTTAAGCCCTCAACCCTAAGCCCTAAACCTCAACCCCCTTGTTTAGGCCCCGAAGTCCACCCGCAGGTTGAGTGGGCCGTGTACCTCGTCTTGCAGGACGCCGTTCCGGTCGGCTTCCGGAAGATGCAGGACCGGGTTTAGGGTTTAGGGTTTGGGGTTCAGGGTTTAGGGTTTAGGGTTTGGGGTTTGGGGTTTAGGGTTTAGGGTTTAGGGATGTTTAGGGTTTAGGGTTTAGGGTTTAGGATTTTAGGGTTTAGGATTTAGGGTTTAGGGTTTGGGGGTGCTTTTGAGAGAGCTGAGGCCGCAGGAGGCTTAGGGTTCAGGGTTCAGGGTTTTTGGCGTCAGGGATCCGAAGACTCAAGCTCGAGACCGCCCCCAAGCCCTTAAAGCCCTAAAGCGCTAGAACCCTAAAGCCCCAGAGCCCTAAAAGCCCTCAGGGGTTAGGGTTTAGGGTTTAGGGTTTAGGGCAAGACCCTAAACCCTAGAACCCTAAAACCCTAAAACTTGGATGTTCCCCCTTATGCTATCAGGTTTTAATATGGACTACAGTACCCCCGATTAGAATCCCTTACTATAAGGGGGAACATCGCAACCTAAAACCCTGAGACCCAAAACCCTAAAACCCTAAACGGTTGAAGACCTCCTGGAGTCACTCGTACCCCTGAGGTTGTAACCCGAAAGGAATATAACCTTTACAATACCCTTGAAACCTAAACCCCAAACCCTTAACCCTAAACCCGAAACCCTAAACCCGAAACCCTAAACCCTAAACCCTAAACGACTAAACCCTAACGACTCCCGGAGGTTGGCAAGCACTGCACCAACTACCAGAACCTCCGAGTCGCCGGACTCTGGGAGCGAGGGACTCTGAAGGCCGGGGGTTTAGGGTTTAGGGTTTAGGGTTTAGGGTTTGGGGTTTAGGGTTTAGGGTTTAGGGTTTGGGGTTTGGGGTTTGGGGTTTAGGGTTTAGGGTTTGGGGTTTAGGGTTTAGGGTTTGGGGTTTGGGGTTTAGGGTTCAGGGGTATTTGAGGGTTTAGGGTTTTTGGAGGGTTTAGGTTTTTTTGAGGGTTTAGGGTTTTTTGAGGGTTTAGGGGTTTTTGAGGGTTTAGGGCTTAGGGTTTAGGGGTTTTAAGGTTTAGGGTTTAGGGGCTTTAAGGGTCAAGGGGTTTGTGAGGGCTTTGGGGTTTTAGAGTTTTGGGGGGTTTATGGGGTGAAAGGCTCAGAGAAGCAATTGGCGGCATCTTGGGAAGAGGCTGTTCTTGAAGTCTCGGATCTTGCAGCCGAAGCGCGAAGCCCCAAACCCAAAAAGGCCTGAACCCTCAACCCTCAACTCTAAACCCTAAACCCTAAACCCTAAGCCCTAAGCCCTAAGCCCTAAACCCTAAACCCTAAACCCTAAACCCTAAACCCTAAACCCTAAACCCTAAACTTCCCGTTAGCCCTAAACCCTCAACCCTCAACCCTAAGCCCTAAACTCGACACCCTAAACCAAGCCCACAGTAAGCCAGAGAGAGCCCTCCTGGAAGGCATGTACAATGCTGGTGGCCAATAGAGGACGCCTGTTTTCGTTGTTTGTTTTATAAGTTGGGGTTTCTGATAATAGGGGGTACCCTTTTTGGGGGTCACTGTAAAGGGATTATAGAGTATTTGGGGATATATATATATTTATATATTTAAAGGGGAGCCCCCCTATGTTCGGAAAGTCCTAAGTGTCAAGGAGCTTCGAGGGATTCGGGGGTGAGATTTTAGGGTTTAGGATGGTTTAGGGTTTAGGGTTTAGGGTTTAGGGTTTAGGGTTTAGGGTTTAGGGTTTAGGGTTTAGGGTTTAGGGTTTAGGGTGGCAAGGACGGGCCTTTGGCTGCGAGGGTTCGTACTTCCAGTACCGCGCAGACAACGGCGACTGCGGTTGTGCCACGGACACCTGTGATTTGCAGACTGAGAACACCTTGTGGACCATCTACCACGTGGATAGCGGGGTGATCACACCGCCCCTGGTGCCTTTGCCGCTTCCCGCGTACGCGCGGGTTGCAGATGGCAAGCACTGCTCCAACTATGTGAATCTCAGGGTGGCGGGTCTCTTGGCTAATTTAGGCTTTAGGCCCCAGAAGAACTGAACCCTAAACCCTAAACTCTAAACCCTAAACCCTAAACCCTAAAGCCTAAACCCTAAACCCTAAACCCTAAACCCTAAACCGTAAACCCGAAGAAGTGCCGACGTGGTGTCGAAAACGCTTTCATCTGTGCTGGCTACATGGCCGGCCGGACCTCAACCCCCAAACCTAAACATGTGCTTTGGGTTTGTTGGCTGAGGTTGAGGCTTGCGGCTGTAGTTTAGGGTTTTAGGATGCTCCCTCTTGTGTTCGCAGCCTTTTAGTCGAGTTACACTAGGGGAGCCAGAGTTGCAATTGCCCATCATGATACTTGTTTTTGCAAGGACTCTGGCATAAAACAGGGGGCCTGGACGGCTGTCGCCGTCTGGCCATGGGAGAGGGCACCACTGCTGGGCATTGCTCGGGGCCGTACTTTCAGTTTGCAGCGGGCAACCAGGAGCGCTGGGAGGGCTTCTTGCTGGGGAATGGTGGTGCTGGTGGTGGTGTAGTAGCGGCAGGAGTTCCAGGAGTAGGAGTCGGAGGTTGTGGTCGTAGGATTGGTGCTGTAGGTGGTGAGCGAATTGTAGTACGTGGTGGTAGGTGATTGCAAGTAGTGGTGGTAGGAGTTGCACGAATAGTTTTTGTCGTCGTCGTAGTGGTGGTGGTCGTTGGCGTGGGAGGAGTGGGAGGAGTGGGAGGAGCCGGAGGAGTGGGAGGAGCAGAAGAAGTGGGAATAGTAGGAGGAGTGAGGGTAGGTGGTGGTCGTGGTCGTGGTCATCGTCGTGGTCGTGGTCGACGTGGTCGTGGTCGGGGTCGCGGTCGTGGTCGTGGTCGTCGTTGTGGTCTTGGTCGTGGTCGCCGTCGCTGTCGCCGTGGCCGTCGCCGTCGCCGTCGCATTCATGTACCCTTTAGGTTCTGGGGATTTCGGGTTTAGGGCGCCCTCAGCCCTAAACCTTGAATCTCCAGGACTGCGGCTGCGCCACTGACGGCTGCGTGGAGCGGACGACCCAGGCCAACTGGGCCATCTACTCCTCCACGGCTCCACACGTCTGGGATCTGGAACGCCATTGCAGCAACTACGTCACTTGGTTTCCTTTTTAGTTCGGGGCCGAGGCGTTTAGGGTACCCAAGCCTTGAACCTGATGGGTTGGCTTAGGGGCTGAGGGTGTGGGGCTTACATGTCAGGGTTGGGGGTGTGAGGGCTCGGCTAGGGTTTATATTTATCAAGGGACCTTCCGGTTTCAGGGCCCCTTTGAGAAGTTCCGAGGTCTGTTGCTTCGGCCCCAACCAGCCCTGGCCCTTTGTGCCCTGAAGATCAAGCCGAAGCCACACGACCTACATCCTTCAGCCCCAAACCCAAAACCCCAAAAAAGCCCAAGAGCTGTAAAGCCGCAAACCCGAGACCCAAAACCCTTAAACCCCCAAACCCTAAACCTCCACCCCGAAGTCCCCCCCCCCCCTCCGCCCCAAGGTGAACTTGCTCTAAGCCCCTAAACCCTAAACCCTAAACCCGAAACCCTAAACCCTAAACCCTAAACCCTAAATCCTAAACCCTTAAACCCTAAATCCTAAACCCCTAAACCCTAAACCCTAAACCCTAAACCCTGAAACCTTAACCCCTAAACCCTAAACGCTAAACCCTAAACCCTAAACCCCTAAGCCCCCCCCCCCCCCACAGGTGAACTTGCGGTCTGCGGGCCTCTGGACGGCTCCGGGGTCCCTGACCAACTGCTGGAGCTTAGCGGCGGCGCGCCGCGGCCAGGAGTGGGGTTTAGGGGGGTTTAGGGTTTAGGGTTTAGGGTTTAGGATTTGGGGTTTAGGGTTTAGGGTTTAGGGTTTGGGGCTTGGGGTTTACGATTGGCAGGGTCAGGACATTACTAGTTTAGAAGGGGTTCGAGCAATTAGCAAAAAACCCAACCCGCCCAGAGGGTCCCATAACATTACGCAAATATATGTTGTGTATTTTTGTCGTGCACAGCTTTTCCTAAACCCTCGCTTCACACCCATTTGTTCCAGAAGCTCTGCAAAGCTTCCAAACAATATAGTAAGGAAAAACCAAGAACGAAAAACAAAAACAAAACATTGAGATCCCCGAACCCTTAACACTAGACCCCAGAAGTTTTTTTGGGAGCCCGGGGAGGAAGAAATAGAACAATAACAAGCCAAGAAAAGGGTAAAAAGAAAAATTGAGATTCTTGAACCCCGAACATTAGACCCCAGAAGAATTTTTGGGGGATTGGGGGAGGCTCCCAGGAGCTCGATGAGGCCCCCAGAAGCTCCCCAAGGCTCCCAAAAGAAAACAAAACAAAAACAGCAGCCACGAACAAAAACAAACGAACAAATTGAGATCCCTGAACCCTAAACCCTAACTTCTAAACCCTAAACCCTGAACCCTAAACCCTAAACCCTAAACCCTTGAGATTAGATCTCAGGAGAATTCTTGGGAGCCCGGGAGGCCCCCCACCCCACCCTCGCACCAAACCAATTTGACCCATTTGCCTAATTCGACGAAGAACTTGCCTACATCAACGAAGGACTTGCCTAAATCGACGAAGCATGCTATATCATTTCTTCTTGGGAGACGTGCGACCACCTGAAGCACCCTGAAAACAATACTTTTTGCAGTAAGGATGTGATACCCAGTTGCTTTGGGCGAATGTCATATAAGACCTTATGTGCTTGTGAGTCTTGTGGTTTATGGGAAAATGATCGGAAAATGAGCATTTCCTTCAGAAATCATACATGTTGGGAGACCTGTCAGGAACATTGAGAATGAACAGCAAGATATTGGCGAGCAATTACTAGCAGCCTGTTGGAAATGCTCAGGAAATAGTGAAAAGATATTTGCTTATAGTATTCTCGCGTCCCCGGGACTTACAGTAAATGATTTCTTCGCATCACCCTATACCATATAGGGTTTAAACCCTAAAGGGCTTACCCCATGAGGGTTTTAGAGATAAACCCTGAAGCCCTAAACCTTTAAGCCCCAAAGGGTTTAAATGTATACAAATCTAAGGTCTGGGCATGTATACCTTCAGCGCCTATAGGGTTAAAGCCTTTGAACCTTTGAGAGCCTTATGGTGTTTTAGGGTTCTGACCCTAAAGGGTTTAGGGTTAGGGGTTTGAATGTTTCAACCTCAATCCCGAAGGATTGAACTCTATGGGCTTAGGTTTAAATGCCTAAATCTTAAACGCGAAGCCTTTAAACCTTAACCTTAACCCTGTAGGTTTAAAGGTTAAGGGTTTGGGCTTCATTGCTTGACCCGACAGGGTTTCGGGGGCTTCTCTTTAAAACCCTAAACCCTTAACCGATAGTTTTTTTAGATAGGTTGTAAAATAGAGAATAAGCCGTTGGAGGGGGGGGGGGGAAAGCTTGCTTGAGAGCATATGAATAGGATCAAATTAAACTGGCTGGCAATCCTGTCAAACCCATGGCATACCTTTTTAAGATCAATGGACATCCTGCGCAACTTAGTAGGAAGCGTATTGAATTGAGCACGCATCTTATCTCTTTGGGGGGGGGGGGGGGGTACCAAATATAAATATAAATTTAATTATTAATATAAATACAAATACAAATACAAATACAGTATGAATATAAATATAAATATAAAGATACAGATAAAGATAAAGATAAAGATAAAGATAAAGATAGAGATAAAGATAAAGATAATAAATATATGTATGTCTATATATATATATATATATGAAGAGGGGGTTTAGGGTTAGGGGTTAGGGTTTAGGGTTTCGGGGTTTTGGGGGTTTAGGGTATAGGGTTTGGGGTTTGTGGTTTGGGGTTTAGGGGTTTGAGTGAAGGGGTTTCAAAGAGGCGCCAGGGTTGTAACAAAGTCAGGGTTTAAAGGGTTTTGCACGACGGGGGTCCGAGGGTTTCTTGACCAGTTTTCAGGGGTTCTAGGGTTCAGGCTCGGGGGCTTTGGTGGCCTCCTGGGGGAGGTCTTGGAGACTTTGGGGACTTCTAGCTTCAGTTTTAGGGTCCGGAGCCCAAGACCCCACAACCCTACACCTAAACCCTGAACTTAAAATGCCGGGATGTTCCCCGTTGTACTAACAGTCCTTTAGGGGGATTAGAGTACCCCCTCTTGTTATCCCGTTTAAGGCCTGCTGGTATAGGGGGGAATGTCCCAAGCAAAAACTCTCGCTGGGAGGAGTGCGTGGGGACCTACTTCCAGTACGCCAGTTCGACCGGCGACTGTGGCTGCGCCACAGACGCCTGCGAGTCCAGGCCAGGCATTTCAGACCCTAAACCCCGCCCCTCCCCCCCCAAAAAATTTGGGGTTCGGGTTTAGGGTTTAGGGGCGCAGGGACTCTTCTATGCAGGGCATGAAGGGGTTTAGGGTTTAGGGTTTAGGGTTTAGGGGGTTTCAGCTGGGAAGCTTAGGGCCTCCGGGAGTCTAACTGGTTGCTCGGAAGCCCAGGGCTCGAGATTGCAGATGCAACCCCCAGCGAGCGCCCGCAAGTGTCCCTGTCGTTTGGTTTAGGGTTTAGGGTTTAGGGTTTAGGGTTTAGGGTTTAGGAGGTTTCGAGTTCCCTTTCTTCTGGAAGGCACTTTAGATGTTTTTTGTTTTCAGCTGCTTGGGGTTTCTCTCGGCCCGAAAACTTTTCAAATCGAGAATAGGTTTCGGGGTAAGATCGGCGGCTCCTGATTCAACCTTAACTTGCAATCCTACACTCCCCAAGAAAGGGTTTAGGGTTTAGGGTTTAGGGTTTAGGGTTTGGGGTTTAGGGCTTAGGGTTTAGGGTTTAGGGTTTAGGGTTTAGGGACACTCCGGGGTTGTAGGAACCCTGCAGCTTAAGCCACGAGAGCACTGAGCCCAAATAGTCTACAGTCAAAGGAACAGTCAAGCCCCAAACCCCCCATTCCTGGGAGGTTGTACTCACCCGACTGGAACATCTACCTCCTCTCGGAGGAGAGTACCCTACGGTTTTTAGGGTCTGGATCGCTCTGGATCGGCCTTTTTCGAACCCCCCCCCCTGGACGGTAAAACCTGGGGCATTCTAGAAATTTACATGTCAAGAAAAGAGCAAGTAAATGAGCATAGAAACCTAGAATGGGAAATGCGCACTTCAAGAAATGAACAAATAAACGAGTCTAGAGACCTAGAATAGGAAAGGCCATTGTTCCCTCCCAAGAACTAGTAAGTGTTTAGGGTTTAGGGTTTAGGGAGCTAGTAAGCACATATGCCCTTGAGCCTTCAAAGCCCGGCCTAAACCCTCTCAACAGAGGGGTACATGCCGAACCTTTAGGCGCTGAAGTTCAGGGCTTAGGGATTAGAGGCTCAGGGTTTAGGGAATCAAGGGTTCAGTCTTAGGGGCTTTAGGGAGTTCAGGGAGTTTAGGGAGTTTAGGGGGTTTAGGGAGTTTAGGGGGTTTAGGGGAACCCGTGTTTTTTTTTGTTGTGGGTGCTTTTTTGCTGTGGTGCTTTTTTCGGGGGCCGCCCCGGTGAGTGAGTGACCTGGCGCGTGTCGCCCCCCCCACCCGCAGCAAAAAAAAAAACGCGCCCCCGCACCCGCAGCAAAAAAAAACGCGCCCCCGCACCCGCAGCAAAAAAAAAACCACCCCCCCCCCCTCCCCCCCCTCCTCCCTCCCCACCCCCCAGGAGTGAGTGACCTGGCGCGTGTCGCCCCCGCACCCGCGCAAAAAAAAAACGCGCCCCCGCACCCGCAGCAAAAAAAAAAAAACGCGCACCCCTCACCCGCAGCAAAAAAAAAACGCCCCGCCCCCCCCCCCCCCCCTCCTCCCACCCCCCATGTGATTGAGTGACCTCGCGCGTGTCGCCCCCCGCACCCGCAGCAAAAAAAAAACCGCAGCAAAAAAAAAGCGCCCCCGCACCCGCAGCAAAAAAAAAAACGCGCCCCCCCCCCCTTCCCCCAGGTCATTTGTTTTTGCAATTTCCTCCCCAGGTCATTTGTTTTTGCAATTTCCTCCCCAACCCCGTCCCCAACGCCCCCCCCCTCCTTTAAACTGTGCAAGCGTTTTCAAAGCACTGAATCCTTCCCAAGGCCATCATGCGAGCATTGTGTTTGCTAACGGTGGAGGGAGGGCTGCACCCCGCCCGACCCCCCCCCTCTTTAAAACCGTGCCAGCTAGCTTCTCAGCATATGAATCCTGTCCAAGCCCATCATGCCAGCATTGGGTTTGCAAATTGGGGGGGGCTGCGCCCCCCCCCAACCCCCCCGCTTCTTAAAGCCATGCCAGCTTGCTTCAAAGCAAATGAATCCTTTCCGAAACCATCATGAGAGCATTCCCCTCCGCTTGAAAGGGGCGGGGGGGGGGCTGCGCTTTTTAGCCGGGCAAGCTTGCTTCAATCATACGAATCCCTTCCAAACCCATGATGATGCGAGCATTGTGTTGCAAATGGGGGGGGGGGGAGGGGGCTGCGCTTTTTAGCCGGGCAAGCTTGCTTCAATCATACGAATCCCTTCCAAACCCATGATGATGCGAGCATTGTGTTGCAAATAGGGGGGGGGCTGCGCCCCCCCCCAACCCCCCCGTTTTTTTTGGCCGGCAAGCCTGCTTCAAAGCTTACGAATCCCTTCCAAACCCATGATGCGCGCTCCAACCCCCTGAAAAAACAGGGAATATATGCCTGCTTTCCTACGAAAATTCAGACCTTATAGTGGAAGTTGAATTTTCCGTTTAAAAATAGAGATATAAACGTCTTCTTAGTAAAGAATCGAGAAAATAGAGCCTGTGTTATGAGACATGAACAAAAACACTTGTTGTCTACGAGTCACAGATAGAGATAATGCATGTACTCTTATGACAATATAGAGAATTAGCTTTTCATGTATTCCTCTCATGTCTTCCTCGTGAAATAAAGAGAAGATGTCTGAAAATACTGACAAAATAAAAAAAACCATAGAACAATAGAGGTTTTCGCTATACAATATAGAGAAATTAGATGTTTCCTATGACAACATAGAGGAAATAGAGGCTTTCATACGAAAATATAGCGAACATACAAAGTGTTTTCATATCAAAATGTAGAGGTCTTGATATTCAAATATAGAGAATAGAGGTCTTCATGTTCAAATGTTAAGACAATGGAGGTTTGCCTATTCAGAGACAGAGAAAATAATGGGCTTCCTATTAAAATAGGACAAGAGGAACAAAACACTTTTAATTGCAAGTCACACATTGAGATAACACAGACAATAAGTTTCTCATGTATTCCTCTCTCATGTCTTCCTCATTAAATATAGAGGAAAACTATGACGATATAGACAAAAATAGAGAGAAATAGAGGTTTTCGCTATAAAGTATAGAGAAATAGAGGTTTTCGAATTAAAGTAGAGGTTTTCATACTAAATGTAGAGAAAACAGAGGTTTTCATATTCAAATATAGAGAAGAAAGAGGTTTTCCTATTCAAATATAGAGAAGAAAGAGGTTTTCCTATTGAAAATTAGAGAAAATAGAGGTTTTCATAGTAAAATATAGAGAAAACAGCAAAAACGCTCCGCACCCGCAGCAAAAAAAAAAAAACGCGACCCCACGGCACCCGCAACAAAAAAAAAACGCGCCCCCGCACCCGCAGCAAAAAAAAAAACGCGCCCCAAAAAAAAAACGCGCCCCCGCACCCACAGCAAAAAAGCACCCGCAACAAAAAAAAAAACACTCTTACCGGGGTTTAGGGAGTTTAGGGGGTTTAGGGAGTTTAGGGGGTTTAGGGAGTTTAGGGAGTTTAGGGAGTTTAGGGCGTGCAGGGAGTTTAGGGAGTTTAGGGAGTTTAGGGGGTTTCGGGAGTTTAGGGAGTTTAGGGGGTTTAGGGAGTTTAGGGAGTTGAGGGAGTTTCGGGAGTTTAGGGAGTTTCGGGAGTTTAGGTTTTCTTCGGGGGGTTCTGGGTTGAAAGCTCCCCCTCTCCACCCGCCTGAAGAGGAAGTAGAATCCCCCCACTCAAACTCCTTCAGAACAGGGTAAAACTTCCCCGAAAAGTTTAGGTCTGCGAGAACCCTGCAGCCAAGACCTGAACCCCTTTGACTTTCGTGCTTGGCCCTAAGGCCCTCAGCCCTAACTCCTAAACCGACCCTTAGTCTCCAAACCCTCAAGCCTTTTGATGCCGTAAACCTGGAGCATTCAACCCTGCACCCTACACCCTAACACCCTAACACCCCCACCCTCCTACACCCCTACACCCCTACACCCCTACACCCCTACACCCCTACACCCCTACACCCCTACACCCCTACACCCCTACACCCCTACACCCCTACACCCCTACACCCCTACACCCCTACACCCCTACACCCCTACACCCCTACACCCCTACACCCCTAAACCCCTAAACCCCTAAACCCCTAAACCACTAAACCCTAAACCCTAAACCCTAAACCCCAAAGCCCTAACCCCTAAAGCCCAAAACCCAAGCTCAACCCCTCTAAACCCTGAACCCTAAACCCTAAACCCTAAACCCTGAACCCTAAACCCTAAACCCTAAACCCTAAACCCTACACCCTGGAAACGGACTTTGCGTCGAAGGACGCGCCGCCGCAGGCGAGCACCAGCTTGGCTGTGAAGGGCTGGAGGCCTGTCCTCTTGCAGCTCGGCTGGCTGGGGTTCAGGGTTCAGGGTTCAGGGTTCAGGGTTTAGGGTTTAGGGTTTAGGGTTTAGGGTTTAGGGTTTAGGGTTTAGGGTTTAGGGTTTTGGGTCTAGGCGGTCTGGGTTTAGGGTTCGGGTTTGGGGTTTAGGAACGCAATACATCAGAAAACCTAAACTTTCAGCTGCGTTGGGCCCGGGTGGTACTTGTGGTACAGGGAGCCGTGCTCAACCGAGGAAGGTTCTTGAGCCTATACTTTGTAAATCGAGGGTTTTTGGGTTTAGGGCTGGACTATACTACTATCCCTTGCCAACTCAGATGCCAGCAAGTCTGTGAAACCTTCCACACAGGACAGGGTCGCCACAAAGGACCTAAACCCGCAATCCTAAACCCTAAACCCTAAATCCGAAATCCCACAAACCTCCTAAATCAACGACTGGTCGCCGAGGTTAGCCCTCGGCCTACACCACCTGAATCCCTAGCGCGCAAAACGCTCACGGCCGCCTGTTGAGTCTTCAAAGGTGTGAAAGGGTTTGTTAAAGTGTGGAGACTGAGAAAACTTCTGCAGCTTTCGTGCGATTTTAGCCACGCATATATCGCATGGGTATTTGTTATTATGGTCCCCAAGCCCTAAGCCCTAAACCCTAAACCCTAAAACCCTCAACCCTAAACCCTAAACAATTTCTTTAAGTTGTTGGCCACCAGGAGGCTGTGACAGAGATGCCGTTGGTGCTAGCCCTGGCAGTCGCTCACTTCGTGCTTGGCAGTGTCAACCGGCCGCCAGCCAGTCTGCAAAGCAGCTGCTCTGTTGCCCCTTTGGGCCTAAACCCTTAACCCTAAACCCTAAACCCTAAACCCTAAACCCTAAACCCTAAACCCTCATCCCTCAACTCTAAGCCCTTAAAGACAGCACTCCGTATTGCCCTGCCTTCGTAAAACGAAGACAGAGGTTAGATCAGCGAGCTCAAGCAAAATAGCATTGGGGTGCTCATGGGCAACCCTAAACCCTAAACCCTAAACCCTAAACCCTAAACCCTAAACCCTAAACCCTAAACCCTAAACCCTAAACCCTAAACCCTAAACCCTAAACCACCCTAAACCACCCTAAACCACCCTAAACAACCCTAAACCCTAAACCCTAAACCCTAAACCCGAAACCCTAAACCCTAAACCCTAAACCCTGTTTTCCAGGGTTGTCCATGCCTCATTTGAGGTAGCGAAGCTGGGAGATCCATGGGCAACCCTAAACCCCAAACCCTAAACCCTAAACCCTAAACCCTAAACCCTAAACCGGATTCATTGGAGCCCGGGCAGGTTTCGGGCCTTTCAACTCTCACCAGGGGGCATCCGCGCCTGCTCGGACCTCGCCCCTCAATTCCAGCCTCTTCAATGTCAGTTCTTGGCAGCGAGCCAAGCAACGCGGAACACTGTAAAAAATGTTGGCGCTGGCGTCTGGTGGTGTGGAAATCGAGCTTTGAGCAGAACTTCGAGCAACAGAGGTGACAACGGACCGAACACCATGGACCTTGGCAAGGTCTGTGCAAAGCACAATGCCACTCCTCTCAGCATATCAAACATCCGTGCCATCGCTACGCACGATTCCTTCAGGAACTTGAATTACTATAGGGGTCGGAATAATTGCACCATAATATTCCCCAAAACCCTATTGTAATTATTCAGGCCCCTATATGAATTGGTCTGCCCTGTCGGCACGTTCAGAAGCAACTCTCACCTGGTCATGGTCAGTTCTCTAAATCAGGGTCCCTTTGTGGGGGTACCCTAAGCAGGAGGGGCCGTCTACCCCAAAAAAGGGTTTGTTAACGTTTAAAACCCTCAATATACCCCAAAAACGGGACCAGATTTTCGAACCTCATGAGCTTGGCATGCTTGGACGATCCGCTTGCCGCCAGCAAGGCGTGTTGGGAGCCACCGAATCGTCAACTGAAAGCACATGAAGCAGGTAGCCCGGGTTTGGGGAGGACTCCGACCCTAGACCCTAGAACCTAGACCCTAGACCCTAAACCCTAAAACCACCCTGAACCCTAAGCCGGAACCCGGTTGTATGTACCAATGGCACCAGCCTTATGGCTCAAGTTGTCTTACACCAGGCCTTCCATATGTTCTCACAGACCGGCTGCAATGTCGACGGTGTGTAGGCCGCTGTGCAGCAGGGAGCGGGGTTTAGATTCTAGGGTTTAGGGTTTAGGTTTACGGTTTAGGGTTTAGATTCTAGGGTTTAGGGTTTAGGGTTTAGGGTTTAGGATTTAGGGTTTAGGGCTTAGTTAGGGCTTAGGGTTTAGCGTGGGGTCGCAGTCGGAGCTGGCGGGCTGCAGTCCCCATTACAATTCATGAGACCTTTCTCTTCGAATGTTGTATGGAAATTTGATTAAGCCTTTTCGTTCCCCTTCATCTCTCCTCATATCTCCTGTACAATGAGGATCTAAAGTACCCATTCTAGCTTAGACAGCCCCCTTAGCCAAGAACTCCTGCACGCCCTGAGCATCTCCAAACCCCAAATCCTATAAGCCCCCAAACCTTAACCCTCTTGGATGGTTAGGGTGCAAAGGGTTCAGGGTTTTTGGCCCATGAAAACATGACATAGCAAAGAATTCAAAGAATGCAATACACTTACCCTGGTAACTTAGTTTACGTTCCTTCACGAGAGCCCAGTACGACACCAATCCCTAAAGAGCATCCAAGCGGAAATTCTGCAAGTCAGAAGGCCCTAGCAACAGGCGATCTGGACATAACAAAGCAGCCCTAAACCCTAAACCCTACTTGTACTTGAAGGCGCTTGACTTTAAAGGGGGCGGGGACGTCCGAATCCCCAATGGAAATCCGAGATCTGAGGTTGGCTTTGCTGCTTGCGACGGTGGCGAGAGGATACAAGATCTTGCCCCTTTGGCGGGATTCAAGCCCTGAAGCCTGAATCCCTGCCCTAAACCCTAAACCCTAAACCCTAAACCCTAAACCCTAAACCCTAAACCCTAAACCCTAAACCCTAAACCCTAAACCCTAAACCCCTAAGCCCTACATCCTGAAGTTGCCTAATGGGTTTTACCATCCTCCCCGCTGTAGATCCGAAAAGCCCCAAGCAAAACCGCCCAAAACCGGACCTAAAGCCCTCAAATTCTGGGGCCAGGTGTACAAGGAATTCTGGGGGCCCGCATTCCCATTTCATTGCCTTAGGTGCCCGGCTAAACCCCGTTGAGCCAAACCAAGGTCTCCTTGTTTGTTTCTTGCTTGCTCTCGAACTAGGTTCGGGTTTTGTGGTTGAGAGCGGGGCTTCTAGCTGTTCTTGAAGGTCTTAGGTTTCGGGTTTAGGGTTCAGGATTCAAGCTTGTTGTTTGGGCTTGGCGGCATGTAGAGCTGCAGGGTTCAGAGCCTAGGGGCTAAATGGGTTTGAGGGTTTCAGGGTACAGGAGTTTAGGGTTTGGGGCTGGGGGGGTTGGGATTTGGAGGGATCCCGTGTTTTTGTTTTTGTTGTGGGTGCTTTTTTGCTGTGGGTGCTTTTTTCGGGGGCCGCCCCGGTGAGTGAGTGACCTGGCGCGTGTCGCCCCCGCACCAGCAAAAAACAGAACCCGCCCCGCACCCGCAGCAAAAAAAAAGGCGCCCCGCACCCGCAACAAAAAAACACCCGCAACAAAAACAAAACCCTCTCACCGGGATTTGGACTCGGGTTCAGGGCTTTTGGGGCTTAGCGCTCTTTTGGGTGCTTAGGGTTTAGGGTTCGGGATTTAATTAGGGTTTTTTTGGGACACGCCCTATCCCAAACATCTGCGATCTCTGGCGTCCAAAGACGCCCTGACTTCCCAGTTTGGTTTTTATGCCCGGCGGTTGCAGTTTAAGCCCTAGATCTTCGGTACTACGCCCCTCAGGCCTAAAACGCCTCCCCGGAAACAGGAGACCCCGCAACCCCAAAGCCCAAACACCAGACCCAAACCTCGAGCTACAAACCCGAAGCCTTGCACCCCTCCTTAAACCCTCAACGCCCAACCCTACAAACCCTAGCCCTAAACCCTAAACCCTAAACCTTAAACCCCAGCCCTCAACCCTAAACCCTAAACCTCCATATCCGCAAGTTTGTTAGGGGGTAGGGGGGGGGGGATCTTCAACATGAGAGGCCCCCTCTCCCCCTTCACAGGGGCAGGGTTTAGGGTTGAGGGTTTAGGGTTTAGGGTTTAGGGTTTAGGGACGGGCCTCTTCTGTTGCAAGAAGTGGGGTTTAGGTTTAGGAGGTGTCTCCAAAAATAGAATTATTCCCCAAGATACCATATTCATGGTTACATGGAACACCCTAGACCCTAAGCCCTAAACCCTAAACCCTGAACCCTAAGCCCTAGTCTCGGCAAAACCTTAAAACGTGACTTGGCCGTCGTGAGGCTGTTTTGGTCTGCCCGGGGCCCAGGCCGTTGCTGCGTCTTGAGGTGTGAGTCGCGTCCGAAACCCCGAAGATTCCTCAGGCCCTACAGCTTCTGAAGCCTGCACCTTAAACCGGTCATAGGGCCATAGGGTTCAGGTTAGGGTTTAGGGTTTAGGGTTTGGGGTTTAGGGTTTAGGGTTTAGGGTTGAGGGTTTACACAAAACCCCTACGCTTTGATAGCCAGCTCTTCCCTTTCTTCGCCCAAACTGTCGGTACTCGCCACAAAAGCCGGTACAAGAGTTCAGGGTTTAGGGTTCGGGGCTTCGGGTGTGGGGACCTAAACCCTAAACAACCTTAAGTACTGACAGAAGAGATTTGTTTGTATGATTTAAAGTGTATGTCGTCTTCCATAGCTAAGTAGTTTTTGGCAAGTGTACATATGCCTCCCTAGTTCCCTAGTCCCCTAGAGGCGCAACCACCCTCAACCGTAGCCCTAAACCCTAAACCCGAAACCCTAAACCCTAAACCCAAAACCCTAAACCCTAAACCCGTTGGGTCCTCCTTGGTCGCTGGCCAAGGTCGACTCGGATGCTCGCACGATAGAGCTGGTGAAGCGTCGCGGAGCCGCCAATAACACGAAGAACCCCCCCCACCCCGCAAGGTAAGGGTCTAGGGTTTAGGGTTTAGGGTTTAGGGTTTAGGGATTAGGGTTTAGGGTTTAGGGTTTAGGGTTTAGGGTTAGGGTCTAGGGTTTAGGTTCCCCCCCCCCCCCCAACCCCGCAAACCCGGGAAAGGTTTAGGGTTCAGGGTTCAGGGTTTAGGGTTTAGGGTCTAGGGTTGAGGGGGGAAGGTTTTGGGGTGTAGGGTTTAGGGTTTAGGCTTTTGGGTTTAGGGCCTAAGGTGTTCGGGTGCTAGGGTTTTGGGTTGGGGGTTAAGGTTTTAGGGTTTAGGGGTTTAGGGTTCTAGGGTTGAGGGGTTTAGGGTTGAGGGTCTCGTAGGGGCGCTTCAAGGCTCTGTGTTTTTGACGTGTAGGGTTGAAGGTACTATCCTTTAGGAGTGTAGAGCTCAGTAAGCCGTGGCATTGTGTCCGAGAGCCATTATCCTAAGCCGCAGCCCACCC